ATTCATTTTAAAGATAATATTATTTATATAAAATGGCAATGTCACATGTAAGACTAGCTTTTTCTATGAGAAAATTTCAACTTTGGTCCCAGAACTTTTGTTGTTTCCCACATTTAGTCCCAAGCACGCCAATTATGGTCCTTTTTGAATTTTCATTGCCAAAATGGTCCCACATTCGTCAAGATTGACGGGGCTCATATGAGGACGTTAGATTGGACAAATTTTGTAATTTTTGGGACCAATTTTGCAATTTTTCAAAAAAAAAAAAAGGTTCTTCAAGTCACTCTTATTCACTCAAAGCCGAAATGACATAATAAAATTAATTTACTATGAATATGATGCGAGAAATAAATATTAAAAATAATTTTATAAAAATTAATATCGGGTGAAAAAGTAAAGGCGTTGATAAATTTTAATTTGGGGTGGAAAAGTAAACGATATAATTTCTAATTGAGTGGTATTTATTTTATCTTTTAATATTTTTACCGTCATTACTTAAAAAATATTGATAATTATTTGAATATTATTTAAATTAAAGAATAATTAGAAATAATATTATTTTAAGTAAATAAAGCAAACCAAAGACATAATCCAATTTATCAAAATAAGAAAAAATGTGAGTATGCTTACAATAATACTTATCCGTCTACACTTTTAAATATTAGTATAATGTGATAATTTATATATATCCTTACAAACTTTATAAAATAATATGAATTAAAAAAACCCAATCCAAACTATTTTTTATTACTGTCTATTTTTATCTTAATAATTTTTATTTATTAATTTGATTTTGACAACTATAAATTAAAAAATCTATTTATTTATGCAAATTACAACTACATAAAAAATTTTAATTTTAAGCATAATAAAACAAAATTTGGAAAATAGACATTTGCTCCCGCTTATTTATAGTAAAATATATCATATATTTTTTTTGCATCTCATTTATCATGAACTAATTAATAAAATTATTTTATACACCTTTTGTTAAGTTACCCAATTAAATAATCATTTTATGTAAGAAAATGTGAAAGAATTGTATTTTTAGTTATACAAATAATAATTGCTTTTTATTTTATATATACAAATAAGTATCAAGTTAAAATTTATAAAAGCATGATTAATAATATAAAATTGAAAAAAAAAAGTTTTAAAATATGCTAATAATTGTAGTGGATCAAGTATTTTATAATTTTAAAAATAGTCATAGATATGAATAAAAGTAAAATTAAAAATAAAAAAAATGATCCAATTGGATAAAATTATTTGGCCAATAAGTAATTTAGTATGTTTTGCTTTTATCACGTCAATTGCTCTCTTTATTTTATACTTGTCCATGTTTTGATTTATAATCACAGAAAATGATCTCTTCTGATTATTACTCTTGTAAATTAAATCAAATGCTACTTGTCTATATATATATTTTTTTTTTTTGGTACAATACTTGTCTATATTNCAGTATAATTTCTAAAATTTTAATTAAATTTCGATATTCTCCTACCTGATTTCACTTTTTTCTGCCCGTTTATCCACATCATTCATCATCGCTTAATCAATAGAAAAAAAAAAATATTAGAAATACTTCATTACCCTTCACTGAATCCAAGAAATACACGGCTCAGATTAACCCAATCGAGCACCAAAATTTAAAAAGAACTAATTACCTGACGCACGAGCCCAACTATTTATTTGGCCCATTCGACGAGATTAAAAAATATTTCGCACATTAGACTTAATGAAGTCACAAGTACGAAATTATGAAAAATTTAATTCTACTTTCCCTGTCTCTAATCTTTTCAAATCAATTGCCCTCATCTTCCCTCAAACCCTAACTCATCCCAGTCGCACGCCAACACAAGTCGCAAGCCATGCTCAAAAATACTTCATCCGCCAGAGCAATCTCAATCGTCGTAGGCGTCGATCGAGCCTCTTTGATATCACAACCGACTTTGTATATTCTCTTTTTTATACATTTTTTTCTTCCTACGTTTCATACTATATTTATTTTATAGATCAATAAATAAAAATATACACTCGGATTTGCTGCCGAATTTACAGACCGAATTTGCCGCCGGCGTGGTGGTAGTGGATGACGGCAGATGTTCTGGGTTCGGGAGTTCATGGAAGAATGGCTGGTCTGGGTTGAGTGTGTCGGCTTCTTCATCTCGCCCTCGGCGCCGTCTGCCGCCTTTGAGATCAAAGTTGTGGTTTTGCTAATTTAGGGTTAGCAGAAATTGATTTTATTTTTTAGTTGTGAAAGTTTCATTGATTGATATTTTTAGATCTATGAGTTGCTGGGATTTGTTTTTAATTTTTGCTTAATTTTCCTTTGGTATTTGATATAGATTTTGAAATTATTACCCATGAGTTGCTGGGATTTACTTTTAGTTTATGCTCAAGTTACTTTGGTATTTGAAAGAGATTGTGAAATTACATGGGAGAAATAATATGTTTGAACATTCTGTTCATTATCCATCCAGGCTTCATAATTCTTGATATTGTGGCTAGTTTGTGGATACATCCAGACAACCACGAACAATTACACTGCAACAATAGGCTCTACAAGGAAGTCGGTGCAAGTGTCACTTACAAACGAACATTAAAAAGCAGTCCATGAAGAATAGAGATGCAAAACTCACCGGGCTCGGTGGGCTGTTTGAGCCATGAGATACAGACAGAACAAGGTGACGTCTATCGTTTGCAGTGGTGCTAGTGGAGCTATTGACGAGGGGACGACTTGGTAAGGATCTTGGACAGTCGTTTGGAGGCGTGTGGTGAGGTTGAGGTGCTGATGCAAGTTGAAAATCTTGCCGAGAAGTGCTTAGCGTGCTCGTCAATATAAGCCGAGTGTGAAGGAAGTCGCATTTGAGTTGGACTGCTTGAGTAGGGATTTTGGATCTGGAGGTACATGTTCGAGTTTCAATCTTCAGGGGCCCGACTATGCTTAAGGCAGTGAAACGATATAGGAGTTTTAATAGGGTTGTGTATTGGCATGTAATATATTTGTGTTTTGAACATTTGAGAGTTAGATTGATGTTTATTAATGGTTAGATTATGATTATTAATTGTTCTTTTTTTTGTCTTATTTATAGTTTATATTTAGTTTTATTTTGGTTTTTTTGTCAATTTGGTTTTCATGATTTTGTACAAAAATAGATAATAAACTTAAGATAAACCATTATATTTAGTTTTATCTTGTATATGTTTATTTATTTTATTTTTTTTGTCAAATTATTTTTTGTGATTTAGTAAAAGAATAGATAATAAACTTGAGAAAAACCAAAAGTTTCAAGTTACAAAAATAATGTAACAAACTTAAGGTAAACTACAAATAAATTGAAAATAAACCCTATATAATTTTTTCAAGTATAATAAACTGTTTTTTTCTTGTATAATAAACTGAAAATAAACTATATATAAATTTAAATTTATAATTTGAATTATTGTGATGTTTTATAAACCTATAATAAGTTTTAATACAAAGAAATGGTAATAACGCTTTAAAAACAAAAAAGTGGAAAGCCTATGACAAGGTTATTGTCTTTAAGGTGTTTGTGTTTTTATATTTTGAAGATGTTTACTGATGGTTTGTTTGTTTGTTTTTCTTTTTTTTTCTTATATTAAGTCTTATTTTTCATATGTTTTGTTTGTCAATTTGTTTTTAGTGATATAGTTAAAAAAAATAGATAATAAACTTAAGATAAACTAAAGATAAACTTAAGATATAGTAATAATAAACTTAAAATAAACTAAACATAAACTTAAGATATAGTAAAAAAAATAGATAATAAGCCCTCCTCAACACAAGCCACTACAAACACACACAGACAAATCCAAAAATAAGAACACCAACAAACGATGCAAATTAGCCCTCCACAACAACCGGTAAAAGGATCCAAAACACCCCCGAGCCAGACACCCGACAACGAAATCAAGAAAGTACGACCACACCCAAGAAGTAGACGACGAAACTCCCTTCTCCGAGACGGAGCTAGCTGACAACATCCACAAGATCCGAGTTCAGTCCCTCTCTTAAACGGGTCCACATCCGAAAGCACACAGGACCCCGCACCACCCATTCCACCAATACCCAGCTGCCGAAGCCGGAGAAGCTCTGAACAGCCGGACCCCTTGCCGACGCCCAACTCCAGAGACACCAGGCGAGGAGCAGAAGGAAGAGAGGCGATGGCCCAAGCGCCGACCACCAACCTCAGCAGACGTCGCCGGCAACCTCCACCCCGCCGCCGAATCTCGAAGCATTCCCGCGACAGACATTCTCAATAGGAAGAAGCTCTGGCGCCGGAAGAGAATCGAGATAAGACAAAGAGGGGAGAGATTGCCCTGCTGCCCAGGCCATCGTGGCGGATTGAAACCCCTGGCTGAAGAGAAGGCCGGCGGAGATGAGGCGTGCGACGGGCTAGGTTTTTTGCTACAGTAAGGGATGTGATTTGGGGGAGAGAGCGACTTTTTTTTTATGACAACAAGTTTACCTTCCTTATTCGTGGCCAGCTTCGTTATCTTGGAATTGAAAATTTAGATCTGTAATAAAACTTTGAGTCTCGTTAATTGGGAAACAGAGTTTTGTGGAAAGTCATATATGTCCTTTCGCCATTTAAAAAACTAAAATGAAAAATGTGGGCCTGACAATTTGAGCATCCACTGAACGTAGCCAAATCCTGTGGACTTTCTCTTAAATTAGAAGTGAACAGTATTTTCCCATAACACCACTAAAACCATGGGCAGTTTTTCTTTTTCTGTCAACTATTGTAAACGGAAAAAAGAAAACCAACAACAGCTCTAAAACCAGCTGCTCCTTTTCCGCTACGTCTATAACCTATAAACCCACCCACATTACATTTTTTTCTTCTTTTTCTACTCGTAATTTACCATCATTCCCAGACCACACATACTTAAATATCTTACCTTAATCAAGATTTTCGAGTTTTNTTTTCACAACCATCTCTGTTTTTTAGGGTTTGGCCATTTAAAAAACTTAAATGGACCCAAACTCAATTCCCGGCGGGATTTACTCCGCCGTCCAAACCGGCGGCATGTTGGGCCTTGAAATGTCGCTCCACCAGCCACCGCCGCCGCCGCGGCAAAATCCCCCAACCTCCCATCTCCTCCCCAACCCACACCACCAGATCCTCAACTACCCCCAGCCAGACGAGAGCTACCTCCCGCCGGCCCACCAGCCCACGAAGCCGGCCCACCAATTCCCCTCCAAGCCCAAAGCCCAAACCCTCACCCTCAGCGACGACGAAGACCCCGCGTTCACGGCCGAGACCAGCGCCGACGACGGCCGGAAAAAAGTACCCTCCCCGTGGCAGCGCATGAAGTGGACCGACAACATGGTCCGGCTCCTCATCATGATCGTTTTCTACATCGGTGACGAAGTCGTCTCGGAGCCCGCCGCCGCCGCCGACAAGAAAAAGGGGGCCTTGCAGAAAAAGGGTAAATGGAAGTCGGTCTCACGCGCCATGACGGAACGTGGCTTCCACGTGTCCCCCCAGCAGTGCGAGGACAAGTTCAACGACCTCAACAAGCGGTACAAGCGCGTGAACGACATCCTCGGCAAAGGAGTCTCTTGCCGGGTCGTCGAAAACCAGAGCCTCCTCGACACAATGGACCACGTGTCCCCCAAGATGAAGGACGAGGTCCGCAAACTCCTCAATTCAAAGCATCTCTTCTTCCGGGAGATGTGCGCCTACCACAACAGCTGTGCAGGCGGCGGACCTGCGGCCGAGCCGCCGCCTCCGGCGGCCGCCGCTCAGCCCCAGAGGTGTCTCCACTCGAAAAGTGGCGAGAACATCAACAACAACAACAACAATAATAGTGTCGGTTTAGTTGTGCCTAATTTGAACAGAGCAGAGAATGAAGGGACTAAATTGTCGACGAGCAGTGAGGACGACGATGATGACGTGGACGACGACGATGACGTGGACAACGATGATGACGAGAATTTGTCGGACAACGGGAGGAGACAATTGTCGAGGAAGATGCCGAGGAGGGAAGAGAACGAGTCGCGTGTTGTCCGCCAGCTGGATGCTGAGCTGGCAAGCGTGCTGGAAGACGGTGGGAAGAGTCGGGTGGAGAAGGGGCAGGTTTTGAAGGCGAGGATGGGTCGGCTGGAGGAGGAGAGAGTGGGGATACAGAGGAGGGCGTTTGAGATTGAAAAGCGGCGGCTCAAGTGGCTGAGGTACAGTGGGAATAAGGAGAGGGAGATGGAGAGAGAGAGGCTGGTGAACGAGCGGCTGAGGCTGGAGAACGAGCGGATGGTGCTGGTGATTAGGCAGAAGGAGCTTGATTTGCTGGAACAGCATTCGCGTTTGCAGCAGCAGTTTTCGTCTACTAATAGGAAGAGCGACCCGTCTTCGGTTACTGTATGAATGAATTAATGAATGAATGTGCGTTTTTTGGGTTTAGTTCGATTTTGTCAGTAGAATATAAGGTGGCTGATCTTGAACTGCCGTCGAAGCATGAATACCTTTCGATTAATAAGATTTTAGGAATGAAAATAGGCTATTTTGGGCTCTTCTCCTTTGGAGTCATTATTAGTATAAGAACTATACACTAGTCTGTTTCAGTTTAGAATTTTGATAATAGAGTTCATCAATGGGTGAAAGGTGGAAACTTCGAGTTGTATGCTGCCATTAATGACCAACAAGAACATGATCCTGAATTTCTCCTAGCACACACCCACATGGGTGTGTGTGTGATTCGATGGGTAATAACCTTGTTTGGGCACTTTACACGGATAATTTCAACTTCTCCCATGACCCAGGTGATTTGGACCATATTTTTATTTGTTTTGGTCGAACATCAAATTTGATGGTGACTTGAATGGAAGTGAAAGGACATGAGACGAGACAGGATGTGGAGTTGTTGGGACATTCTTTGTGTACTAAAAAGTGTTAAAGAGTTGTTCGAATTTGGTTCCAAAGGAAGATCTTTAAACGAGGTACACAGATAGTGGAACACTTATATTGTGTGACATCTCAACGTCAAGGATTCAAACCATTGAAAGCTAAAAAAGCATAATCGCTGTAGAAGCTTCTTTTCTAGGTTACAGTACAGAATATGTTGAGGACATTTATGTTGGGGAAGAAATGAGCAGACAAATTCTGAGGCAAGTAGGCAACTGAAGAATTTCGACTATTTTTAATGGAAAAAACGAAAAAAAAAATAGAAAATATTTTAACTATTTTTTTTTTTTAAAAAAAGGCAAAAATCACGCCCAGTGGGACTCGAACCCACAATCGCCTGATTAGAAGTCAGGCGCCTTATCCGTTAGGCCATGGGCGCTTAACTCAACAGTAAGCTAAAAGGCTCCACCAAAAGATTAAGACTCAAAAGACCCTCAAGACATCCCTGTTCATTAGCCCTAGTGTCAGCTACGTACTACAATGATTTGATGACTCGAGAGTCCTGATGCTTTGCTTTCTCATAATCCCATGATCGAGTGCCACCTTCTTTTTTTTAACAGAAAACGTTTGATATATATAAATAGATGACATGTACAAATATTACAATCGCCAAACTGGATTTACAAATATCACCAGTTGGAACTCCAACACTGCATCCAAAACAAATAAAACATATACAACACTAAAACTAACTACCCAACCACCATGTCCAAGAACCAGAATCAGCCATCCAAATATCAAAATAAAACAGAGCCCCAGCAAAGAACAGATTCTTCTGCAACGGCCCCTCACGCAGACAACTATTACCTTGCCGAGATTCCCTCTGCTGCAGCACCCTAACTCCCACCCGCAAAAAGATAACAGAGCAGTCACCACTTAAAGTCCCACCTAGGATCCCTAGTCACTTCACTCTGTATAACCACCACCTACCGAACAGGCAAGAAAAAGAAACCCCTACACATTACAAAATTCCAACCATTCCCCCCAAGCTCCTTCCACAATCTCAATTTCAGACCTACTAATCTGCTCAAAAACTCATAAGTTGCGCGACTTCCATAACCACCATAACATATACACAGAAAAATGCAGTCTATCTCCATAATCCTCAGTCATAGTGCCCTTGGAAATCCAGTCCCTAAAATTTTCCTTCCTTTGCTCCCCTCCCTCCCAAAATAGAGGAGCCAATCTCCAAACTTTAACAGCCCTCTCACAGGAAAAGAATGTTAGTGTTATATACTGAAAGCTTGGCTTTGCATGTTATTACATATTTACCCTTTATGAATGAGAATCATGTTAGATTAAACAAGTTCTACGTTCTGTTGTTCTGCACTTAGATAGGGTGGGTCGTCATCGGGCGAACCGAAGATCACTCTATCAGTCACTAGCGAACAAGAATAGTTGTTCACAACCTAGATGGACATGAACACCCCATCCGAACGGTTGTAGTGTCAACTATACAGTTTGTCTTGACTGATTAGTTGCACTAGTACATTTATGTATTGAACAAGATCCCAGAGAGAAGAAGTTCATTTTATACTGATCGTCATAAATGAACTAGGCCTCGGTTAATTACTGCATTCTCTTAACCCGTAAGATATTAAACAGGCAGATATATATAATATATATTACTTTGATTCACAAGGGTGAGGTTCAGTTCGCTGGATTAATATTTCTACTATTTTGGGTAATATTATTATACATAGGATGTGCTGTTAGGATATTTACGGTCACCATGTGCGTTAGTTTGATGATATCCCCGGAGTGAGTTCATGAAGGATTGTTATGCTAAACCCTGCAGGTGGATTAAGTTCCGCCATAATAAGAATGTGATGAACGAGCGCTAGCTTCGGTGAAATAATAATAAATTAATTAATTCTTGATTGTCAGTAATCGAATTAATTAATGGACATTATATCTTAAACGTGGGGAGGTAAATCGAGTAATTATTATTGGAGTCTCAAATGTAATTTGGGCTAGGAAAAGGGAGTGCAATAATATAATGTTGGTGGCCAATTAGTATTATTTAATTAATTAGAGGAGTGGACTTGGCCCACAGTTAGTCTAATTAATTAAGGAGCCCTTTTCCTGATCTCCTAAGGGTCCCTACTGTAGCTCTATATATACATCATTAAGCTCATGAGAAGGGAAGAGAATTCATAATCACACGTGAATAACTCCCCCCACGCCTCTCTCTCTCTCTCTCTAGATCTCATTCGAGCTTTATCCCACCCACCAAAGATCCCCCCAGGATCTCTTTTGACTACACAAAAAGTCCCGCTGCCTAGCCCTTTCAACACTATTTGTGCTAGCATAAACAAATACTAGCCAACCCTTTCCCATCCCATTCCCCCAATCACACTCCACTTGGATACTAAACTGATTAGCCACAATGTTACTAATATTTACCCAAGAAGCCCAGCACAAAAGCAACCCCCCACCCCCTCTGACCAATAGGATCCACCACAAACCATATATTCTGCATCTTCAAACCTCTACATATTGTAGCCACAAAACTCTTCTTCTTCTTTGTTTCACTAATAAATAGTACATATGGGGAGTGGAGTCTAAAGACCTCCTTTAACTAGGAAATTGTAGAGGGCCCTCCAGACCTCTACAATTCCACACCATAGACTTCATTTGCACCCCGGGGACCATACAAGGTTGGTCCCTACCCCATTCAGTTCAGTCAGATCTCCCTCTACTTTCTCAGTTTCTTCTTTATGCTTTTTCCACATAATATCCTCCTCCTCAACCCCTTCAGATAACATATAAAAAACTCTTTTAAACCCTAGCCCCACCCTACAACTACCCACCCCTTGTACACCCACTAACACTTTTTCTCTTTTCTCCTCAGCCCCAGAGACCTTATCAGTTTAACAACCCTCCTCCCTTGCACCCTCTTTATAGTCTCTTCATCATCTGGTCACTTTCCCCACCCTCAGATCCACTTCCACCCATACCCCCAGAGCCACAACCTTTTTTCCTCTATCCTCACCCCCCTCACATTCCATCTTACTATTACTAACTACTACCCCCCTCTCCCCAACAGAAACTGCCTCAGCCACCTTCTTACCCAAACCCTCCTTCTCATCACTCACCTCCAAAGACCCTTGACTTATCCCTTCCCTTTGAGGAGAACTAACATTCTCTTTGTGACTTCCACTTTCATCGTTAACATCTATTACACCCTCCATCCCATCCTTTCCTTTATTAAATCTACCAGTCCCCCATCCATGTGAGGCCCTTAACCACTCCCCATACTGATTTACTACAAAGGAACTCTTTATTATATCAGATCTCTTCTTTTCACACATCTTCTCATGATGACCCACACATCCACAATAAAAACAAAAAACTTGCAAATGCTCATATCGAAAATCCACCCACATTGACTTTCCTTCTAGTGAAACTGTAGTTCTCCTTAAAAGAGGTTTCAATAAATCTACAGTTACTAAAAGTCTAAGCACCCTTCCTCCAGACCTCCCTTCTTCCTGTATTTGGACATCCTTAACCGTGTGAAAAATCCTTCCAATCTTCACTCCGGTTTGCAGAGACAACCAATGACACGGCACATTGAGCACTTGCACCCAAATATCCACTTTACTCAACTTTCCCACCTCCTCCAAAACATCTTCCGACCACTTCTCCAATAATATATATTGCCCATCAAAAGCCCATGAGACCCCCCGTAATATTCGCTGTTTATCCTCATCACACCTGAAAATAAACTGGTAGCAATTAGAACCATTTCCTTCACTTCGAAAGGTTGTGATGTCCTCCATACTAACCCAAGCGTTCGTCTCAACCCTGTTAAATTTCCCTTCTTATTTCCGAAGATCCTCCCAAATAAACTCAGTTTGCATTCTTCTCCACTATGAACCACATCCTCCTCCTCCTCCAAAGCCACTCCCGATTTTTCCTCCGACGATAATTCAAATCTTTGTAGCTGATCAGTAATGTCAATTCCTTCCAGATCTTCCATCTAAGCCCGAAATCAGAGTCGACTCAAACCCCCTAATATCTAACCAAACACTACCCTAAAGAACCCTAACACCTCGATAACCCCCGAACAGATAATGAAAACCAACTGGCACGACCAAAGACAACAAAAAAGACACGAAATGAAGAAGAAAAGACTCAAATCCAACCCGTGGAACCCAGATCCAACTAGCGGAACACCAAATCCCTAGAGAGAGAAAAAGACCCTTCCATCCCAAGAAGACTCCAACTTGAGCCAGTAATTTTTCTCATAAACATCATCGAGTTCCACCTTCGCAACTCTCATTTATAGCGTTTGTAGGGCGGCCTAACAATGCTATGGGGTGATTAATGAGTTTATGGAAATAATGATACATAGTTGAGAAAAATCTGGCCTACAGCTTAATTTTGGCTACAGATCACCTAAGCGCGCATTGTTAATTATCTTTATTTATTTTTTATTTTTTTTTTGTAGCCAACCACGGTATCCGGAGCTATGCCCCGACTAATCCATTGGTCGACCCGGGTCGCACACCTGGCAGTGGTGGGTGAGTCTCCCAACAATGATTTTCTGCATCCACAAGAACCCGAGACCTTACTTAAGCGACATCAAACTGCTTACCACTTGAGACAACCCCTGTTGGTTGTTAATTATCTTTATTAATGCTAGTCTAAGCTAGCTTAACAAAAACCTTACAATGTATGCATGACCTTAAGGCTTAAATGTACGTACGAGCATAAATAACGAGTTTGAAGCACAACTTTACTAGTCTCATATATAAATATACATGTGCCATTGACCTCAATACAAATTTTACCCTCAATGGGAATAGTTTCAACTGGGTATAGCTCATGTAAGGTCTCAGCCTTGAGAAGAATTGCGTCACATCCGCGTAATAAGAAGAACAAAAGTACCCGACAACCAAAACTCTAAAATTAGAAATGTGTGAACCCACCATCACTAACAACATTGGCACATCAGTTGCCTCTGCACAAGTAGGAGCCCTAATACATCTGTCGCGCTATCACCAACACGAATCACCCTATTTTGAGGCCATGTTACTGCTAGGGTTCGGTGAAGAACGTCTGATATGGGATATCGTACATAAAGGACTAATCGGTCGACTAGGCCGAGCGAACTGCCTGGTCGACTAGAATCATAATAGAATAGGTGGTGGTCGAGCATCCTGACTAAGAAGACAACACAAGGGATGCAGGATGACAACAACAGGTCGAACTAGGGCCGACCCTCAGTTAGCATGGTAGAAACTCGACCTGTAAGCACAGCTGGTTGTAGGATCGACCAAAGGAGATAACATTCAACCTAAAGCAGTTAGAACTCTACCTCAGCTGAATTCAACCTGGTCACGCCTCCAGGTGGTCTAACATGAAGGATTAAAGGGATCTTGTGGTAATTAATATCGCACATGGGCACAGATACGTGGCATCACCGCATTGGTCCGCACCCTATAGCCGTTCTGACATTCTGAGCAGGGATGTTGTACTATCGGGTAACTCAGGCAGCTTGGGCAGCCAACTCATCACATTTGGGCTGCATTCTAGAAACATGTACCTCACCCCTTTAAATAGGGGTGAGATGTGCGATTTTACATTATTACGTATACTCTAGATTTTCTACAATTCATCATCTACACATATTCATTTAAACATCGGAGGCTCTTCACTTGAGACTCCCTCCGGTGTGAGAGTTCTGTAGGTTCAAGGACATTTAACTGGCGGTTTGCTCGAGATCCAGACGTTTCTAGGCTCTACCAGCCGGTTGGAGGTCATTTGATACCACGTCAATGTTCATTCAAGTTCAAATCATCTACGAATTAATCTTAATTGCAACGGATCTAGAGATTAAGATTAAACACTTACGGTTTCAAAATTTGCAGACTCTGTACAGACTTACACAACTTATGAGGTCGAATGAACGGTTCTGACTTCTCGTCTAACGTCCTCATCAAAGCTTCTTATTTGGCCAGTTATGCCTCGCCGATCCTCGCGGATCACGGTTGCCGCGTGCGTTGGGCCTCGCCGGTATGCGTCGTGCATTGATGGGGTCGCGACTGGTCGTCGGTGTGCGTGTGCGTGCGTGTGTCGTGCGCATCAGTTTACCTAGATATCTTCTGTTGTATTCATTGTACCACCTTCATACATCTTGGTGGGCGACGAACTGGAAGCTTCTCTCTGGATTCTCGATTTTCTCACAAAAATACACAAAGTCGTGCGATATACATTTCTTATGAGAGGGGCGTTCAGAAACATCTTCACAAGGTGTAGAATAAGGACTCCTCAAGTGTAAACATAGTTCTAAAGCTCTTGTATACTTACATTTTTTACACTTGAATAATACTTTATTCCACTAAAAAGATATTATTGAACTTCCTATTTAACCTCAAATTATATTTGAGGCTCCAGGTTAATTACTCGATTTATACCATCATGTTTAAGATATAACGCTCGTTTAATTCATACTCAAAATCTAACTCAACTTTTATTCAATATTAGTCATTAATATTATTCATATAGTTAAATAATACAAAACCAATCATTTTTACACAGCATATCAACTTTAATTTGTTATTCCTCCACTCACATAATTCTAGCTAACTATCACTTCACATCATATCTATCTTACTTTTACATCAAATTAACTTTAATTATATTATATTAATACAAACTCAAAGTCTTACTAACAATTAACTACACTATTTTTTTTAATATTAATCCTAATTAATCAAAAAAATTCATTTTGATCGAATTAATTAATTTGTAAATAACCACGCTCTAACCACTCTAATTTTATTAAAATGTTATTTAAACAGTCAAATAAGTTCTTTCTCTATATGTTAGTTCAAAACGTGTTGAGCCTAAAAGGCAGACTCACACGCTTCGAATGCTGACATGACGAAAATCTATCTTTCGGAATGTTGTTTGTATATTCATTTTTGCTCTGGATTAGGCTTGATATTAGACACAAATAACTTTTTTTAAATTTGGTAAGTGTACAATTAAATTTGTTATTTTTTTCTGTTAGTACAAATTTCCTTCTTAGTTTGGACAAATAGCAACCTTACCATCTTATCATTTTCTCTCATATTTACAAATCACCTTCTACACTGTCTATTCCTCTTTTATTTTTTTTTTTATGATCAATTAGTCATCAAAATTTTTAAATAAAAATTTTATTTTAATATTAATTTTTATCATATATTTCTCAACTCAACATGTGTAAGGACACTAGTATCAATACTAGTAAATTTTAATTTCAAAACGTAAAGTGGTTCCACTCACGCGAGACTTGAACACGTGCCTACCTAACGGACAGGGTCACGAATGTAACGCCTGTCCCCTACCCCCTCACCACCCTCCTAGAATTGCCCAACTACTAGTAACCCTAACGGCGGCAACTCTCCGACCAAACGCCTTCTTTTCACGTCCGTCTATTCGTCTCCTTCATCCGTCAACGGTCAACTTGACGCCGTCCATGGCCTCCTGTGACGACGATTTTTCACTCCTCGACGACCACCACCACACCCCCAATTCCTCCCAACCCTCTGCCGCCACCGGCGCCCATCCGCCGCCGTATGAAATCGCTACGTTCGATCCGGACTCCGACCCGTTCGACTCCGAGCCAGATCCGAACTCCCTGTCCGGGAAGCGGTCCATCGATCGGGATGACGTCCACAGCGGCACGTCGAAAAGGACGAGAATGCCCTCCGCCGGGGAGTACCGGAAGGACAGGGAGGAGTGGAGCGACTCGGCGATCGCGTGCTTGCTGGAGGCGTACAGCGAGAAGTTCGTGCAGCTGAACAGGGGGAATCTGAGGGGTCGTGATTGGGAGGAGGTGGCGGTGATCGTGAGTGAGAGGTGCGAGAACCAGAGCAAGAGTGTGGAGCAGTGTAAGAACAAGGTGGACAATCTGAAGAAGCGGTTCAAGCTGGAGAGGCACCGCCTGAGCAACGGCGGGGTTATGGTGAGTCACTGGCCTTGGTTCAAGCAGATGGAGCAGATCGTCGGAAATTCCATCGCCGCAAAGGCCGCCGCGGAGGAGGAGAAGGCCGGCGTCGGCTCGTTGTACCCTGCTAGGCAGTCTAAGAGGTACAACAAATCTGATAACGTGGGAGTTCTGTTACTTGATCGAGATCCCCTTAACATTCTTTCCAGATTCCAATCTCCACAATTCACTTTTTTCGTTTTATAGCATCTTCCCTATTGCAGCAGCTCAGACTATATTCATTATGATTTTTTTTTTATTTTTTATTTTTTTATTTATTTTGTTTGCTTGCTCTAGGTTTATCCATGTGTTTGTCAAGAAAATTTCGTCGAGTGTTTATGGCAGTTCAGTGTTGTATGTGGCTGATCATTCTGTTTCCCAGTTGTGTAATTTGATTATGATGTGAATGACTGGTTGAGCTTCCGATTATACAATTTAACTCAGTAGTTACTTTTGGTTTTACAATTAGATGATCATTTTTCATGACCTCCATTTTCTTTGTTTTCTTTTGATGGGTGTGCTTTTTGAGCAGACTTGGAACTTTGGCTGCTAATCTAGTTGGCCAAGTTATGAATCCGAAGAAAGCATCCACTAATCTAAGGTGGCGAAGAGTTGTGTTCAAAATTAGCGGTGGTGCTCTGGCTGGAACTACTCCTAACAACATTGATCCAAAGGTTTTGCAGTTAAATTCACTATATATATGTTTCTCAGCAGTCACGCCCAATTAACTGGAATTTTGACAATCGAGTCATATATAACAATAAGCAAGTCTTGAGACCACCACTTATTATCTATGCAATCTTGTTGTGCGCTCATGTATTTAAATCGAGACAAACTAACTTTATTATGGCTTCTACATTTTTCTAAATTGGATTTATAAGGTGGCCATGTTGATTGCAAGGGAAGTTTCAGTAGCCTGCCGTGTTGGTGTTGAGGTACTATTTTATTGTTAATCTTTAGCAATGAATTATCTTCCTTGTTATGACCATTGGCATTCCCGTTGATTGCCTCAGGTGGCTATAGTTGTTGGTGGCCGCAACTTTTTCTGTGGAGACACGTGGGTTACATCAACTGGTTCTGATAGATGTACTGCATATCAGATTGGGTGTGTTTCTAATTATGAAGTTAGCCTCTGTTTTACACTATATTTGGAGCATTATCATCTTCTGTTCGTTTTCTTTTGTTTCTTGTTTTCTCTCGTTGGATGACGGTGACTTATTTGGGGACTGAACAATCAACTGGAGTTTTGAATCTGATAATTTGATGAAGTCATGACTTTATGAAGGCTGTTCAGGTGCATTCCTCCACAAGTATCATTTGGAGGGAAGGAAAGTTAATAGTGATCTTTCACTTATGTTGTTAGGTCCACAGCTCTTTGGCTAACCTAGATTTTTTTTTTNATTCCCCATATCATGTTGGTGGAACAAAAAAAAAAGCAGTGTTATAATTTTTTGAGTTACTAAATCATCACATATAACGCTTCCTTCTGTTACTTTGAGGACGATAAGAGGCATCAATTAGAAATCCTGTTTATTTCGGATTCATCCTTTAAGTATGTACGAGAAACATGTTTTATCATTTATACTGATTTGAGGACTGATGTTGTACTTGTAACCAGAATGATGGCGACAGTGATGAACTCTGTACTGCTACAGTCAGCTTTGGAGAAATTGGGCGTGCAGGCACGTGTACAGAGTGCGTTTTCCATGCCGGAGGTTGCCGAGCCTTACAGTAGGCAACGGGCCATTCGGCATCTCGAGAAAGGAAGAGTAGTGATTTTTGGTGGTATTGGGGCTGGCACTGGGAACCCACTATTCTCTACGGATACAGCAGCGGCTCTTAGAGCATCTGAGAGTACGAGCTTCATCTATGATCTTTTTGTTTATGTTTTCGGATAATTACCAAACCTACTCTCTGGTTTAGGTGTATTTACGAAATAGCCAGCTAGCTTTGAAATTACAAAGACAACCCTTGACTTGTGTTTTTAATTTTCATCGTGCGTTTTGCTTGTGCGCTAGTTGACCTAACAGAATAAGCTGATATCATTGAGTGCGTTGATCATTATGTGTGTTGCAAGTACTGATGACCCCCACATGTGTATCTGTAATCTTCAGAAAAAAATGAGGGGTCGAACATATAAAGCAAAATGAAAAAATTGGGTTTATCTGATATTCCCAAAAGTTGACGGATGTGTCAGCAATGCCAGTGAGCGCCACTAGTGGTATGTACATAATGTAAGAGAAGTTCAATCTGAGGGTGGTTTTTGTAGTATTTTTTTTTTTTTTTTCTTTTTCTTGTGATCTTCTCTTTGTTCTTGGTAATTTGGTCGATCACGAGTGTAATTTTTAATAACCCCTTGTCTATTTACAGTTTACCTTTAATTTACTCTAAATTGTTTTACATTTAGTTCATGCGGATGTTGTCCTGAAAGGCACGAATTCTGATGGCGTTTTTGTTTTCGACTCAAACGACATTTCATCGGAGCACATTTCCTTCAGCGAGTTGGCATCGAGAGGCACATCCTCCATGGATATGATGGCCCTCACATTCTGTGAAGAAAACGGGATTCCAGGTCTTTTATTTATTTATTTTTATTTTGGCCCCTTCACTTGTCTCATAATTTCCAGTTTGTCCCCATCTAAATTCCATCATCTGTGCCAGTTGTCATTTTCAATCTCCATGAGCCCGGGAATATATCGAGGGCATTGTGCGGAGAACAGGTTGGTGTACTGATTGATCAAACGGGGCCCGTCGGTTGAATTTTGTGATCTGTTGCATGTGGAGGAGGATCATTTTGTTTTTTTGAGAAAATCTAATCTTGTTGTGCTATGATGAAAAATAGAGGTAATTGTACGAACCCATTCACAGATGATGATGGGCTGTTTGTACACATTCGGGGAAAGTTGGAAAATTTCCTCAGGTCATACCCACACAAATACAAGATCACTGTAACTAGTGAAGTATCGAGTGTACTAATCTTTATTTAAAAACGCATGTCGCGAAGAACCTCTTGATGATTCGTATGCTTCTAGATAAGACCATGACTGTATATTTGTAATTTGTTGTGTGATCTCAAGTTTTAACAGCTTATTGACATGATGAGACGTTATTATGTACTTACGAGGGATGGAAATTTTAGCAGTGTTGGTCCCAAATTGTTGTATTTCTAACACTGGTTCACTAGTTATCATATTCTGATTCTAGTGCATTTTTTGTTTTCGAGAAATCTGTTATTTGCTCGACAAGAGAGCTACGCCTCAAACTAGTCAAAGTTTATTCACAGCCCTGTATGTGAAAGTGAACCTGCAATATGTACTCTTCTCTTTAATGAATTTTCCTGGTAGCTATGTGCTGATGTTTGAAGTGTAACTTTTTCACCAGTAACTCACAAGTTACCGTAGTAACAATTTTGCTCTTGGTTTTGTATTTAAAACAGGGCACTTAAGCATGTGCAAAAAGGATGCATCATTGTTGAAAGTAACGAAAACTGATCATTAAAAATGCTAGTGAAGGTTGTTGGACATTGACTTTGATAAGGTTAAATGTCACTTTGTTGCCTCAAACCCATCATTGTACTCGTTTAAATCAAATTATTATAACTTCAATGGGTGTCTGTCTGCTGTCTAACTGTAATTTATGAATGAGATTATATATTTTACTTTCATTTCCTGTTACGTTTTGTGTTAAAATATGACATCGTCGTGTTGTACAAATATGAAATCTTCATCTATATGTCTCGTTCACTGATAGAGTGAAATATCATTAATTTACAGAGATCGAAAAAATATAATCAATGTTTGTAATCTAATGCGGACATCTTAGGTCATTGTCTAATTGAATAGTAGTAAGCCCTTAATATGGAAAAATAGCACAATATCGTCCTTAAGTCTTAAACTTAAAAATGAATTAAAGTCCATGGAGTTTGTTGTATGAGATTATATAATATGAGCGTTTCTTATAATTAATCCAAACTTAAGAGTCAATTTTGGTAAACATCTATAGTATAGGTGCTAATAACCCTACCAGTAATGCTGGATTGGGTTCATTATAATTACACTATGCAAAACAGGATCCATGGATCCTCATTTGCCAGTCATAATTAAAAATTATAGGGGCTACAAAAGCCTCAAATTTAGACCAAACTGTTATAGAGAATGTTTACCACCCATTGAAATTATAAAGGTGATCAACAAGTGGATGGACTATATAAAACTATGATGACACCATACCACCATAACAACAATAAACCAACAAATAAATTACACTATAGAGATAATTATACTTCACAATGGAGATGCACACTCCATTTGAGAGAGACAATAGATAAATAAAACAAACATTAGACGATTAATCAAATCTGACGGGAGCAAGAGCTTGAGGCAGATCAGATTCAAAGGAAACCCTCAAAAGTGAGAGGTGAAAACCTCAAAAGGGAGTAGGAGAGAAGTAGGGGCCTGTGTCATTGTTAGGCTTTCTGCAAATTATAATCCAAGTCCCTCACACCAATTTTCTTCAAATCATTTCTTATGAACATGTTAAACATGTCCAGGAGAACCAATATTAACGAACATTTACACAACTGTATACAAAAAATAACAATAATAAAGAGAGAACGCACAAAAAAATTCCAGCACAAGCATCAAATTTACCACAATACTAAAACATACTTTTCAGTTTTCATCACAACAATCTCAACAGCCCAACAATACATTAGACTTCCAATCACATCTCCAAATAAATAAAAAAAAAGAAAAAGAAAAAAAAAAGAGAAGCACTAGAGAACAAAGCAAACAAAACAGAACAGAAATTCAAAACGCATCCTCCGTAGTGGTCGCAACCGACGGCGACATAGAATTCCTCGACTCGTCATAATCCTCACCCAACGGCGACTGCTCCACCCTAATCTCCTCTATCATCCTCACAACCTCCCCCATCGTCGGCCTCTTCTCCGGCTGCCCAACCACACACGCCATCCCCACGTGCAAAGTGGACACAAGCTCTTCCTCAATATTCTTGTACCTCAACAACTCCTGATCAAAAACCTCCGCCGTCCACTCATCCCTCACCACCGACCTAACCCACCCAGCCAAGTCCACGTCATCATCCTCACCCCTTGGGCACCGATCAGACGGGGCGCGGCCCGTGAGAACCTCAAGCAGCAAAACGCCGAATGCATAAACGTCGGCTTTCTGGGAGAGGCGTTTGGTCTCGGCCTGCTCGGGGGCACGGTGGCCTGCCAGCCTGGCGACGGCGTGGGCCGGGCTGAGGAGGAGGGAGAGCCCGAAGTCGGAGATGCAGGCCAGCCCGTTCTTGTCGAGGAGTATGTTGGAGGACTTTATGTTGCCGTGGGGGATTCGGGAGGACGCGTACTCGTCGTGGATTCGCTCGAGCCCGCGCGCGGCGCCTAGCGCGAGCCCGATTCGGGTGGTCCAGTCCAATGGGATTCGTCCCGGGCCTCGGTTTGCTGTGGCAATGAATTAGAAGAGAGATGATGATAAATTGTAATTTGAGTGATATATAGTAATTTAAGTCTTGTAATTGACAATTTTGCTGTAATTTCAGGGGAATGCGACAGTCCCGTCACACCGTCACATAGTATGACTTGGTTCTTTGAGAATTGATGATTAGATCTTTTAATTTGATAGGGATCCTTAGATGTAGTTAACAAATGGTGATATGTCAAATTTTTTTATTTATATGGAGGAATGGCTCCGTTATAGGATTTTAGCATTTTCCGTAATTTCAATCCTTTTCTACTGTCACAATAAATTTTAAGTTACATGACTTAAAATGCTACATGTCACTCTAATGGGATCTAAATTGTTACTTTCATATTCTAATACAACCAAATTTGCAATTTAGCCGCAGAGAAAACATATTTATTAATTTTTCATTTATTGCTACTTTCATAATCTAATAGAACCAAATTTGCAATTTAGCCGAAGAAAAAATATATTAATTTTTGATTTATTACTACTTTCATAGTCTAATAGAACCAGATTTGCAATTTAGCCGAAGAGAAAACATATCAATTTTTGATTCATTGCTACTTTCATAATCTAATAGAACCAAATTTGCAGTTTAGCCGAAGAGAAAAAATATTAATTTTATATTTAGAAAAATGCAGTTTTAACTCATACCATGGAGAAGAGAATGGAGGCTCCCATTAGGCATGTAATCATAAACGAGCAATTTCTCCTCCTTTGCATAGTAATAAGCTCTGAACCTCACAACATTTGGGTGTTTAAGCTTCCCAATCACATCCATGTACTGTTCAAACTCCTTCCTCGCACATGGATTCGCGTCCTTGAGCCTTTTCACGGCCACCGTGCACCCATCGTCCAGCACCGCCTTGTAAACGGTCCCCAAGCTACCCTTTCCGAGCATCTCCGCAGATGCCCGGAGCAAATCCTCCAGCTCGAACTGCTTTTTCCGGTCGAAGAACACCAGTTTGCTCCGGTCGGTGGCGTTGGTGCCGTCACTATCTCCGCCGTTATTGTTGTTGTTGGCGTACCCTTTCTTCTCGCTCGAGTAGCTGCTCCTCTTCCCGACCTCGCTTGCTGACGTCATCGAATTCGTTGCCCTAGAACTCTTCCCGCAGCAGTAAGCCACCGTGAAAGACGCGATTACCAGCAGAAGCACCGAATTCGCCACCGCTATGGCCACAATCGCGCCGCTGCCGAGCTTTTTGCGGTGATTTTGCGGCGAATTGGTGGCCGCGACGGTCTGCGACGGGGGGAGGGAGCTCGGGCTGGACGGCACCGTCAAGGATGGTTGTCCGCGGGAGCTCGAGCAGTTGGGGAAAGGGGGAATTTCGCCGCATAGGGCTTGGTTGCCGGCGAAGCTTCTAGATCCGTACCTCGAAATCAAGGTGTCGGGGAGAAATCCGTAGAGCTCGTTGTTGGATAGGTTGAGGTCGGTGAGATTTGGGGGAGGGGATGAGAGGAAATTAGGGATTGGGCCGGAGATCTCGTTGTTCTGGAGGTGGAGAGTGATGAGGCGGCTGAGATTGGCTAGCTGCGGCGGGATGGGGCCGCGGAGGTTGTTGGTGGAGAGGTCGAGGCGGAGGAGGCGGTGGAGGGCGGAGATCTCCGGCGGGATCTGGCCGGAGAAGTCGTTGCCGGAGAGGTAGATGAGTTTGAGGTTGAGGCAGCGGGCGAGGGGGGAGAGGGTGCCGTTGAGGCGGTTGCCGCGGAGGTCGAGGAGGCGGAGCTGGTCGAGGGAGGCGAGGGCGTCGATGGGGCCGCGGAGGTTGTGGGAGGGGAGGATGACGGCGGTGACGCGGCCGTAGGTGCAGTTGACGCCGGTCCAGTGGGCGGAGCAGGCGTCGGAGGCGGCGGTCCAGTTGGGGAGGAGCGTGCCGTGGATGTCGGCCTGGGAGCGGAACTGAGTGAGGGCGGCGGTGTCGGAGTCGGCGGCGGCGGCGGCGGTGATGAGGGAAGAGATGATGAGGAACGGAATTGAGATGAGGAGGAGAGAAGAAAAGACGGATTNCTTTTAATTGCAATACATATCTCCAATGCATCCGTAGTAATAATTTAAAATGAAATTTATTTTTTGTAATAATAAAAAAAAAAATTGGACAAGTAGGCTAGAGTGAGAATGAATAAACTTTCTAGCTAAATGCATTGAACCTCAAACTTTCTAGCTAAATGCATTGAACTATAAAATGAACTATAAAAGAGTTTATAACATGATATATTGAAGAGTGATTTTCATACAAAACTTTATAACTTAATTTAATGATATGAGTAACTTTTATTATTTGAAACATTTTGCAATGGAGATGCTCTTCTACAATATATTAAACACATGAAGGAATTATTACTTTAGACATAATTATTATTAGTTTGTCTTCATTTTTTTATTTTTATTTTTTTAAAATTACTATAGCTTGTTTTGTGCGGTCAAAACTCAAAATGATTATAATTTCCGCATTAGTGTTTAAATATGGGATTGAGCACAACAAATAATCTGAAGTCCTAAATGGTAATGGAAAACTAAACAATTGGCTTACATAAAAATGCTATCTAGTTCATATTTTTGTGGTATAGTATTTTTTCATGAATTAATAATTTTATATTTTAAATTATTTAGGCATACATTTTGTCCAATTTCTTTGCAAATTATCAAATGTTTTTATATATACATGGTAGAAACCATTTCTGTGGGATGGATGGAATAGAAGGAATCCAGAATGATTATAAGACCTTCTCCAACCGTCCCTCAAAATCAAACGCAAACTCAAAAATGGAGTTAGTCTGCCCCAACCGATACCCATACGGAAAACGCAAAATGAGTTTTCTTCACTCTCTCACATCTTCTACACCAAATATGCGTTTTACTGTTACAAAACGCATTTTTTTTTTAATTTCAATTTGGTCCTCATTTTTTATAAGTTGTTATTTGAATACTAATTTATTTAGATTGTTTAGTTGTATTCATATTATTTGCTTTTGTAAGTTACTTTTTATAATGATAATGTAAAATATTAACAAAAATTAATTTCTTAAAACTAGATAGTATAATATTTAAGATAGTAAATATTATATTTAGTATTTATTTTTATATATTTCACAATAATAATGTAAAATATACATATTATTTATGATATTTTTATTTAACAAGAAAAGAAAACACCAACATTAAATAACAACAACATTACTAATACAGATTGAAATAACATTACTACATGATAGATCACAGTTGAAAATATTTTTAATTTTATTTTGTGTGTTGTAATTTTTAATTTTTCACCTTGTGCGATGTAATTTTTTTAATTGCGTTTATGTGATGTAATTTTTAATTTCTCATCTTGTACGTTGTAATTTTTTATCATATCTTGGGTGGTGTTATTTTTAAATTTTAATTTTAGTGAATATTTATTTCTACGATTTTATTATGTATATGATTATAACTTTATACTAATTTATTACATAAAGTCCAAATTGAATTTAAAATAGTAGTGTGCATGGTATAATTTGTAAATTTGTAAAATGGGTGGGTAGTATTGAAAAATTATAAAAATTGATGTAAAAAAGAATATTCTTTTGGGTTTGAGAATGAGTTTTTCGGTTGGAGATGAATTACTGTAAAATGTGACATTACTGCAAAATGAGTTTGAGTATAGGTTTTTCGGTTGGAGATGGCCTAAAGAGAGCTGAGAGAGATACTGTGCAAAGTGATTTGTCATTGAATGTGTTTTTTATTTTTTATTTTATCCCTATCTAATTTAGCACTGTATTTTAGAATTTAT